TCACCTTTGGAATTTTCAGTTCATCGACTACTTAAGGTGATACATCTTTCCTCAAACGCTAAGGATTCCCTCCAAAATAGGGCGCTCTCTCTCTCTCTCTCTCTCTGTCTCTCTCTCTCTCTCTCTGTCTCTCTCTCTCTCTCTCTCTCTGTCTCTCTCTCCCTCTCTCTCTCTCTCTCTCTCTTGCTCAACCAGGGGTTTTGTTATTTGCCGGGTGCCCTCAAAATTCACCTCCAATTGGTGGGTCACCCAATCTTTTTTGCTTTCCCGTAGGTTTCAACTTTTGCCTGGGAGGCTTCCTCTTGGTAGACCCGAACCCAAAAGGTTTGTGCAGAATGTCAGGCGACCCCCAGTTGGTTTGGATTGGCGGTTGGGGGATTTGAACCCTCTTTGTAAATGGGAAGCCGCTCCCACCAAACCGCCCTGAACCAATTGGACCCCCAAAACAAACTGAGAATGGGTTGGTTTTCCTCTTGCTTTCTCTAGCCAACGCCGAGCTGGGCAGCTCACGGGACCCGTACCCCGCGATCCGCGGGGGGGCCCCCGAGGAGCTTTGGGAGAACTCCACGGTGGTGAGCTCCAACTTGCACCAGGCCAGCCTGCAGCACGTTCGCACCTCCGCGCGGACCCCGGACGAGCGCACGAGCGCGTGGGGGTCCGTGAGGGATGGACAGAGATGGAGAAATTGGTTTTGAAGAAATTTGGCCCCCAAGTTGGGAGAAGCTTGTGTCAAGAAGTTTGTAAACTAACTCCGGGGAGAAGTTCTTTCAGAGTAACGAGCAAGGCAAACCTTGTCATTCACCTTGTGTAGTTAAAATGCAGTTGGTTTGCTTCCGGATTGGTTGAGCTCACAGACTCCGGACATAGTGTATGGGCTGGTATGTTCGGCTTTGGGATTTGGAGTTGGAAGGCGGACGTGCTTGTTGCTAGTGCCGCCACAGGGCGCCTGGTCGTTTCGCGGCGTTTCAGCTTCTTTTTTTTTAAATGTCGTTCCACGCTGGGGGGGGGGGTGGGGGGGGGGGCGGGGTAATAAGCACACGCTTTCACTGCGCCGCATGAGAATAAATTCATGCATCTCAGCCTCATGTTGGCTTTTTTCATCGTGTTGAGCGCACGCGTTCACTGCGCCGCATGAGAATAAATTCATGCATCTCAGCCTCATGTCGGCTTTTTTTGTCGTGTTGTCAAAGAGGTTTCCGGTTGCATCGCTGGCTCTCAGGGAGTGTTCTGCAATGTAATTACAATCCTCAGGCGGTGTCTCTTTGCTTGTCTTTGGTGTGCTTTTTGCGCCAAAGTACCGCCGCCGAGCCGCTCACCGGCTCTATTGTCCGCTTGGCGTGCATACCCATTTTTCCTTGATCAGCACATTGATGTCTTGCCGCTGTTTCGATGTCAGATCCAGTTTTGGATTTTGTGATTGCTGCTTGTGCGATGCCTGAACGTTCTCCAATGACTTTCGTGCGCTCTGTGATGATCAGCAAGTTCTGTGGTCTTCGTGGGTCTCTTATGTCTCGCGTTCTAGCTGACAAAAAAAGGGCCCCAGACGTGGTGTGATCTGATTTGCTCAACGCTTGCAGTGCACAACCCAAATGGAGCCCAAATGGAGATGATGTCAAATGAAGGGTGTTTTCTCTGAAAAAACATTAGTTTGGGGGAATTCTACGACCACAGTTTTTCATTGAGAAAAGCTGAAATCATTGGCAGGCGCATTGAAATCAAGAAGGGTGAGCCTTGAAAATCACCAGGCGCCTCATGGCGTGATGACCTGTTTGTTGGATTTGGGGTGGCATAGGTTTTGAATGATTGAAATTGCTTGTTCGGAGATTGTCCTTCAGGCACTTATCACAAGTCCAATCACAGAAGAGAGCAAGCAGGGCCTTGGGAAAACTAGTTTCTTTCCCCAACTGCTGCAACTTTGGTGTCCTTGCTCATAGATTCTGGACTAGCTCCGAACAGGGGAAATTTTGGGCTAGGGTTCTGGCAGTGTTTCCGGAGGTTTCTGTTGGGATCTATTATCAAAAAAGGGAGGGGATGAAATAGCGCAGGCCTCCCTTTGAGGGCCGAGCCATGCATGGTCCAACGAGAAAGCCAGTCAACATTCAGGCCTTCCAATAACGTTGGGCAGTGCGCCTTGATCTGGCAATATCGGACAAACACCCATTCCTTCTTCATGAACCTGACGGAAGATAGCACCAATTGTTCAAGCAACCGAAGTAATTGCTTCAGTGTAAGACTACATCTAATCCCAAACCCTGAAGCCTGTAAAACAGGCATGCTTGCCAACCAATTCCATTCCTAGAGCAGTTGATCAGGGGTTCATCGTGAATTGTATATGTCACATGTAGGCTTGTCTCAAATTAGGGCACCGGTTGCCTTTGGGTTTCTCATTGAAACCAAAGCGACCGACCTGCCCATAGACCAATTGGAGTGGTGACTCATTTTTGTTTGGGGTTCTCGACAGCATGGGCGCCGGGATGCGCTCGCAGCCCGAGGCAACGGCAACCTTCAACATGCCGCACCATGAGGAGTGCGCGGTTCCGTGAACTTGCCCGCGGAAAGAGCAATCCTGAAAGAGCAACCACAGAGGTTACGCAAGTATGGCTGAGGAGCTTTCCTGGGCCCAAAAACCAGGGCCCGAGACAACAGCTCATTAGAACCCCTGCCAAATCAAAGGAGCCTCCTTGAATTCTGTCACTTCGCCATAGCTCTTGGGGTCGGGGTTGACAAGTTGACAGGCTCCGAATCCGAGAGCCCAAATGGGAAACCCCAAAAGCAGGATGCGAGCGCCCTCAACCCGAAGCAACCCGAGGAGGACGAGCTGATCTCGGGGATCCGGTCCTGGGCGGCGCAGCAGCTGCAGCTGCCCGTGGAGTTCGTAGAGCCGCTGCAGCCACCCGGCTTCAGCCAGCTTCTCCCGGGGGGGGCGGGTGGTCGGGGAGGGGCATTCCCTTTGGAAGGGGTGGGGGGCAGGGGGGGAAGGAACCCCTGGTGGTGGGGGGACCAAAAGGTGGAAGGAACCCCTAAGAGCCAATCCACTTGAGAAATGTGTGGTTGAACCAAGAACTTTGGGGGTCTACTTCCTTGGAAACTTTGTTGGGGGAGACCCCCTTGTTTTTGGGGAACTCCTGTCTGGATTTTTAGTTCCACTCAAATTGGCAGAGTACCATTTGAACATTGGTTCTAGGGATTCATTCTCAATTATTTTCAGCCATCGTTCTCTTCATGCACTTCCCACGTTGTGGAGTTTGCCCATTTTGAAGCGAAGGCTCCCTGAACACAATGGCAAGGGAACTGCTAGAGTTTGGAGCAATGGATTGAGGTGGGGTTGAGGTGGGGTTGAGGCGGGTTGAAGCGGGTGAGGCGGGTTGAGGCGGGTTGAGGCAGGTGAGGCAAGTTGAGACAGGTTGAGACGGGTTGAGGTTGAGGGTTGAAAGGTTGAGGTGACTTGGGTTTGAGGAGGGTTGGGCATGTTAGTGTGTTGGGTGTGTTGGCGAGTTGGTGTTTGTGTGTGTGTTTTTTGTTGTGTGTTGGGGGTTGTGGTTGTGGATTGGGGTTCGCGCCTTGGTGGCTTTATGTTGTTTGTGGGGGTTGTGGTGTGGAACATGGCATGTGCTTAGCTCGTCCCACTGCCCGCAGATGTCTACTTGCAACAGGTCATGGTCGTACGCCACCCGCCTCAGACTGGAATGCCAAGCATTGCCAAGGATTGCCCGCTACTCCCGCGGCCAAGAGTACAAGAGGTGGGGTCCAGATTCAGAGACTGAATGATCAAACATAAGAGGCGCTTGTGGGCTGAGCGATCGGTTTCCGGAGTGGACACTTTCTTCCATTTGCTGAACCAATTCGTTATTTTGTATTCGGTTGGAGAGCATGCTCCAATAGGTTTTCTGTTGCCGTTAGCTTGCGTTTTCACGTGTGGTGCGTTTCATGCAGCCATGCGCCTCTTCTAAATATGCCGAGCCGCAGCCACAGATCCCGTGAGACTCTGCTTGGTTCATGGGATGCCGCAGAAGAGATTGAATCCTGTTGAAAGCGGTAGCAAGTTTAGGGGATCCATTTTGACGGGTTTGAAACTGGAAGCCAAAAGGAGACCAACTATGTCAAATGGTTTCAGTGGTTGTGGTTTTTTGGTGTCATCAGGCACTCCCCGCAAAGTGGGACACTAGCAAAGCTCCCCTTCGTAGGGTAGAGTCCTGCGGCAAACTGTTTAGTCGCGGTTAAATATGTCCTCCTAAAAGTTGGAACTGGGGGAGTGATAGCAGCATGGGGGACTCTTCCCCTTATCCCCACCCGCAAAACCGTTGAATGGGTGTTTTTCACGTGGTGGCCATCACAAAACGAAGCGCCAGGCACTTTGATTGGCGGGCGTCCAGCTTCAACGGTCTCTGGATCTTTGGGCAGAGGGTGCCTCTGGCTCAACACCTTGGTCAGATTTTTTTTTTGTATCAGGTTTGCAGCTTGGGCATCGAGGTTTGGTCCCCGATGTTTGCTCTAAACTGGTTAGACCCCCGAAGGCTGCGTGAGAAAACAAGGAAATCCAGGCATTTGTATGTATTTCACCGATATGGCTGGGAAATTGTAGCAACTTCAGGGACAAACGACCTAGCCCACGGCAAATCAGAGAGTCATTGGGACCAACCTCCCCTGTGTTAGTGTTTGTGTTCGTGCGTTTGTTTGTTTGTTTGTTTGCTTGCTTGCTTGCTTGTTCGTTGGTTTGTTTGTTTGTTTGTTTATGCTCGCGCTTGCGCTTGCGCTTGCGCTTGTGTTTGTGTGTGTAAGCAGTTTTGCCTCCGGGCAACACAGTTGAACGACCAATTGCCAGATGATGAGTGCTGGTTGAATGAGAGGTGTCACGCTAGAAGGGGTCCCATCATTTTGAGACGTGCCAAAGTGAAACCATGTGTCCAAGCCAGCAACCAACCAACCGAAGGGGCCACCAGCGATGGATTCTGTCCGGGTTAGGTCGCCACCATCTTGGTGTACTTGAACACCATGCCGGAGGGTGCCGGGGGCGAGACGGAGTTTCACAAGGTCAACGTCAAGGCGGGAAGAGACATTTCTATGGAGCCGCATGTGGATTCCTGTGCGTCAACGGATGGAGGGCTGCCAAGTTTGGAGAACCATGCAAGATCGTTTGTTTGTTGGGCAACTGGGTGTGCCGGGTTGCGAAACAGTCAAAGGCCCTTCTTGGTTTGACGCAGTGGATCATGCAGGTTTGTGTTGATTGCCGCGTCTGAAATCCGGAGCTGTCTTCAAGTGCCACTCAATTGGAGTCACCCAACATGGATTCTCGCTGCAAGTGGCGTTGTCGTGCAAGCCGGAGCTATGCCTTGGCAGGTTCGCCCTGTGCTTGGCTCTGCGGTGATTTGGCCCAACGCCGTTTGGCCAAACAGAGTGAGCGCTTATCGCACGCTGCTCTTGAACAGGAGCAGCATCCCCAGCATTGGATTTGTCTTTCGTGTCAGACCCTATACTATGACTCTATATTTCTCCGAGCAGTGTTAAGAAGCACAAGAAGCAGCCATTTACGTGATTGTTCAGGTTCTATGAAAATGGAATAATTATATGTGCAGGGCCAGTGTCAATTTATTGAGATGTTGTTTTCACAGCTTACGCAATTCTTTTCAGAAGCTGGAAATACACGTTGGTTGCATGGCTCCAAGCATGCACGCCAACGACCTACAGGTGTGGCCAGAGACCCGCATTCGCATCAATACGAGTTTCTATCACGTGGCAAGCAGAACCTTGCCAACTCCCGCCGAACCTTGCCAGCTCCCGCCGTGCCTTTGGCCGGCGCAGAGACGGACCGACGGACAGGCAGACAGGCAGACTGACAGGCAGACAGGCAGAAAGACATACGGACAGACAGATGTACAGAGACAAAGACAGAGACATAGACAGAGACAAAAGACTCTCGACAGAGACACAGACAGACACGTGCAGAGAGACACACCCACAAACACAAACACACAGAGCCTCCAATCAACAGCTTGACTATCCATCGCAATTCTTTCGCCCACATGACTAGCCGCACAGACACCAATGAAGCACACCCCAGCTGCCCAATGTCAGCCCTTGCCCGTTTTCGGGATTCCTTTCCACGCCAAAGATTTGTGTTTAGGGCAAGTAAGGCACTTCAACTACTATTGGACCCATTCCCCCAACCAAAGAATACACGGGTGTCTCTTTTTTTGAGGGTACCCATTTGTTGGTAGTTTAAAAAACCAGCCATTTTGGGGCTCCCCTAAAAGAAGACACACCCGAATGACAATCGGCCTGCGATGCACTTGTGGCTCCAAGCACTTGGCATCAGCGGTGCGTTTTGATCTATGCGAAAACATATTCGTCGCTGGGATGGTTACGAGTTCTTTCGGCGTCCCGGGTTGCGTGGACACTTCTGCCGTCCCAAGCCGTCCATCAAAACCTGTACTCGAGAGGCTTGCCACGTGCCTTCTAGAAAGGATCACAGGTGTCCTTTTGATCGGTTCGTTTGGTTAAAAATAAATAACACGTTTAGATGGGTTTTTTTCCATATACCAGGGCCATCTATTTTTCCAAAGGCCGCCTATGGAAAGGATGAGTTGTTCAAAGGGATTCGTTGGCGTCCCCTTGTAGCGGTGTCCCACCTTGGATTGCCGAGATTCGGATGAGAGAATGTCCACTTCCAAAAAAATGGAGCAACCCAAAATAAAGGAAGTCGGGGCCCATCCTACCCCTAGGAAAGGATGGTCCCAGGTGGACGCAGATGGCCAACCCAGCAGGGACACCTTGCACCTTGCGAACCCGGTGCTGCAGGACGTTTTGGCGGGAGGCGTATCAAAAGCAACGGATTCAGTTTGTCTTGGTTATCGAAGCAACCCAAAGAAACCAAAACATCAATTCAACCTTCAAGGCACACAATGCCCAGTGGGTCCAATGGGTGGAATTGGACTTTCGTGGTTGAACTCTGCCAGCCTAGAAACCTGAGCATTGCGGCCATGGCATGTTGCTTGCTTTTGCCTTTTCTGCATCTGCCACTATGTATGAGCGTTGTTTGCTGCACCCAGTGAACAGTGTTGGTGTGGGTTAACACTAGTGTTGTGAATGACGCTGGTTGGGGTTTGGCTAGTTTGGGAAAACGGCCCAACCTTCACATTGACGGACGAGCTGCCGTCTTCCGATGTTTCGTGACGGACGTATAGTACTTCTGTAACCTTCGGACTTCATGTCCGCTCTGTGGTGGATTGCAGACTTCTGCGTCTGGCAACCAGCTTGTTTCAGGAAGAGTGGCACATGTTCTCCTCGCGGGTGTTAGCTGGCATTGATTTGGAGCTGTCTTTGGAGTGGCCATGTCTTAGTCGCTGCAAACAAGTTCCATCTTCAGAGAGCTAATATGGAGCCCTTACCGGGGATCGGAGGTTCCGCAGCAAAATGTTGTTCTTTTGTAAGGGTTCGACAACATGCGCTTTCCCGGCTGCAACATCTAGTCTGAATACCCTAACCTGGGTAGCCTCAATGTTCCTGGAGCTTCGCCTTTGTTCCCTTCAATTAAAGGTGCGGATGCTAAAGTCCCGTTTGTCCACTGAATTCACCAGACACTGTGCACCCTGCGGGAACGCAAGCCGCCCCGAACTAGATGAGCAGCGGTCTTTACTCACATGAAAGGGTTTCTTCAAAAAGGGAACTGCATGTACTTCTTGTGCCTTCCTTCTGTCTGTCCTGCAGTCTTCGCGTAGGCTCCGCGTAGGCCGCGCGTAGGCATTCGCGTAGTCTTTCAAAGCATTTTGAGCAAGTAGACCTTTTCTAGCAGCCAGATCCTTGGACCGATGTGGGGTTCTCACTTGTGCTGCAAAGGTGATCTTGGAGCCGGAGCTGCCAAAGCTACACTTGGAGTGCAAAGCTGCAATTTTCCAGCTGGAGCCGCCAAAGTGCACTTCGACACTTGAGCTGAACATCTGCCCGCATAGGCGTCCGCGTAGGCACCTGGAAGTTGACTTGTGCTCGCGTAGGCACCCTTTGCAGCGGCGCAGGCTCGCAGAGTAGGCACGCAAGTAGTGTATGGCTGCAAACCACCAAAAAAGCTCAGATGATTTCTCAGGTTGCAGTGCAAAGGTGTCCAAGAGCTGACCTAGCAGACACATGTACCCAAGATCTTAGCGTGTTTCCGGGCTGTCCTGTACCGGGCTGCAAGGTGCAATGCTGTCCGCTGTGCTTTGCAGGGCGGCAATCAAACAGCACACTGTCAGCTCATGCCATATCCAAGGCAAGTTGCCCCGTTGTTGCTGGGTCGATCATCGAATAGTGAACTCATGACGTTTACAGTATCTCCACGAAGAGCATCTTTCTTCAAATGCAACACCACTTTTGTTTTCACGCTGTGGGGTTCGCTTGCAGCTTGCTGCAGATCCAGAACGTTCGCGCATGGGATGTACATGAATCACGCAGGAAGTTTTCTCAGTTCAAGTCCCATTTGCAGGCTGTCCGTTGTTTGATGAACAAAGCAGTGATAACACAGTCTTGGGAGCCCACCCCGCCTTAATGCCGTCAGCGACTGTGACAGGATGGCATCACCAAGTATGCTTTGAATATTTGGATCACCAACCAGCCCTACCCGAACCGCAGCTGGATCGGCTGGCGCTAAGTGGACAAAAAAGCCCAAACCCGCGTAGTCGTGCTTTGCGTTGCAGATGTTTCTCATCGTGGTCCAGTGCCGAATGGTGATAGCTTCTGCATTTCCTCTTGTTTGTCTTTGAACAAGTGTTAAAGGTGCAATCTGCACATTGTGTTTTTGACACAGGTTAGACAGTTAGTTTGCCGAATCGCATGTCGGCCGATTTCTTCAAAAGGATCAGTCGGTCGCATTTCCACACGGGACAAGAATGCCAGTGATTTCAAGGCTTCTCGGAAGCGGACTCGACGCTTACATGATTTGACAATGTCACCCGAATCTATGTCCGTCAGTGGACATGGTGCAAAGAGGGGCATAGGGAGATTTGCTTCCAAATGTTGGATTTGTCTCCAAAGGGAGGATCCAACATGGGTTGCTTCCCTTTGGTTTCCTTTTTCCGAAACGGTGCCCCTCCTTTATCCAGATGGTGAGGTACGTGGCGCGCCCCATGTACGGCGTGAACACAGCACATTTTCAGCGATGTACCCCAAATCCGGCGCTGTTATGCTGTCATTGTTTTCGGCGGTGTTGCCACATGATCTCCTCCTTTATCAGTGCCTCGTTTGAACCCAGCCTTGGCCACTCAAAGCTCCGATCTGGCCAGGGCAAACAAGATGCCCAGGAGCGGCTCAAGTGGCCGGGAAAGCTCAGAGCATTCGGCGGGGATTCGGCGCGAATTTTTTCTTCGCCAGCGTGGTTTGTTGAGGCGTCCTTTTTTGGACCATAGGTGTTCTTCTTTTGGACCATAGGTGTCCTTTTTGGGTTGCTTTGGTTAGACATAGATGGGACTGGTTTAGGTGTACCAGGGATTTGTTTCAAGGGTCACCGATTCTGGACTACGAACTATTGGAAATATGTGTGACACACCCGAAAGTGCAGGTTTCCTGTTGGAGGTCTGTCAAGCTGGTTCCAAAAAAGAGGGTCAAAAGGGACCACCCTGGTTTGATACAGGTTGAACTCACAGATCACAGCCTTTTGATATTTTTCTGTTTGAAGGCCATTTGTTGGTCTGTGTCAAAGGAAACCAACCGGAAAATCCGCAAACAACAAGCCGACCCATGTGGGTGAGCACCAGACTCGTGGATGTTTGAGGCTGGCCGAACTACTGGAGAGCCAGAACAAGGCTGGTCCGGCCGCCGGCGTTTGGCTTTGGCTTAGCTTCACTGCTCTTGGATCAAGTTTTGGAATCGCGGGATACCAACTGATGGGAATTCGTCGCTGCTCTTGGCAAGATTCTTGTTTTTCTTCAAGTTTTTTTGGCTCCTTTTCATTTTTAAGTAGGGGGGCTGCAAAAGCAAAGTTTCTTGCTACCATACCAAGGGTTGTGATAGCATTTGGAGGATGTTGAGATCGCCCACTTCGTGGTTTAACAACTCGGGCAATGAGTCGCTTGTACCAGGGCTGACTCCACTGAGTCTAAACGAGACACGCCCTCTGGGACACATTCACTGGCCTTGACGAAATGGAAGGCGAGCCACGGACAGTTAGTCTGTGGCCGACTCGTAGATCATTTGGGGAGGACATGGAGCTATACAGTCGTACCTGGCAACTTGGGTACAAGAAAAGAAACGGACATCTCGCTGAGAAGCTAAGACCCTCACAGCTTGCAGCACGATGTCCGCACTTGAGCGCCAAGATGCGCTGCGAGGCAAGCATCGAGAAAGTCTACCAGATGCTGAAGGACTGCCCAGAGTGGCGCATCCAGGCCACAAGCTCTCGCGACTCTTGCGATGCATGGGGTGCCATAAATTATTAAAGGATATGTCCCAAAATCACCCGCTTTACCAGGGAGTTGTTTTTGCATGAGCCTGCTTTTGGTGCTGTTGCTTGACTCTTGGGGCTCATGATCTGAGTTATCGCCACTGAACTCACACTGCCCGCCCTGCCGCGCCAAACTGAGTTGCGGCCCAATTTGCAGGCGCGAGAACTTCCAGAGCTGAGGCCAAAAACCATGGAGAATGCATCCACCGAGTCCAGACCCCGAGCGGTTTCCTCTAATTCAACTGCACAGCCATGGCCACCAGCACCAATGGCTTCAAGGCGGGGTGTGAATGATACGACGTACCTACGGGGTGTTCGGTTTCGTGAAAGGGGGCAACGGCTCTTGGTGAAACCAGTGGTTCATGTTGATTTGATCACTTCTGCATTCATTCATTCAAAATAAGGGATTTCAATGTTTCCCTCAATATCTGGAGGCGACGGCGTGTAATAAACCATGCTCAACCAGTTTATATGGGATTCAATACTTAGACTGAAGCCTTTGCACGATGCCTTTTCCGGCTTGCCCAGGCTGAAACGAATGAAGATGCATGTGGCCCTTGCTTCTTGGGAAGGAGTGGCTTCTCCCATACCAAGGTTCCCGAAGATGCCCGGCAATTGTATGGCAGGTGCTGCTTATGGGCAGGGCCGGCGCCCCCGTCTTAGAGTTGTCCCGGGTGTTCGCTCTCTCTCTCTCTCTCTCTCTCTCTCTCTCTCTCTGTGAAAAGACATTTGCCCCATTCACAGAGAACTCACAGAGCTCAAGCACGTTGGCGTGATACGAGCGCTCCCATACGGTTGACTATTTTCTTTGCTCTTGTTCAGTCTTGTGAGTTACAAATAGTAGCCGTGTAGTGCATTGGTTCACTTATTGCTGTGAAGGGACAATGCCTAGGGTTCCCAATGACGCAGTTTTGCTCAAGTGGAACGGAATGGCAATGGCTCATTAAAATGGCGAGATTGCCCCCGCTTTGCCGATGGCTTGTGAAGTTGTAGCTTTCATCCCAATCCAAGTAGATGACGTTTGCAAGTCGCCAGTCCCGCGCACCATGAGCTTTGGACAAGTGAAGCTTGGGACTTTCGTGTGCCCAGTGTTCACCTGGCAGCCCTGCATCCAGAATCATGCAAGCGCGAGTTGCGGCCCACTTTTGCACACTTCCTTTGCATGGGGTGTAAAATCGGTGCAGATCTGAGTAGTGAGTATTCGTGCATGCTCGAAGCACATGTAAACATTCCGGTTGACTGGGCTCGTTCCGGAGCGCCAGCCAAGTCTACTCGGACTTTCGTTTTCTCTGAGGCCGGGAAGACGTCGATGAAGTCCATCATCTTCGCCAACTACCACTCTCGGGTCGGCCCAGCGCAAGCGTAGGTTGCCATTGGGCACCTCATTTCTCCCCAGAAATAGCTCCCCTTTTTGCTTTTTTGCTTGTTTGGTGTTCCCTTTGTTTTCCAATAACCAGGCATTTGTTTATTTTTTTGCTGAGGTTGCAATTTGGAATCTGGAAGCGGGTGTACCGGGCAAAAGTGAGGGATGATCACTGAGCAAACTCCCAATCCTACTGCCTCAGTTTTCCTGCTGACCATTTGTTTGGAGATGCCCACTTGTGGCATTGGCAACACTGTTGGATGATAATGCTTTTCCGGGCTCCTGTAAGCTAAGAAACCGGTAAACAATTGGAACATCGAAGTATCGCGGACATAACTCATGTCTGCCTGCTGGGTTATTTCAATTATATATGCATCCGAGTAAATATGCAGCTGACATCGCGAGTGCATGCCATATGAGTTTGAATCTGTCATTTTGCTGCAGGCATCCGCATTAGTCAGTTCAAGAACAAGTTAAGCATGCTTGTGGCTGAACATCATCCTGAACACATGAGCATATAAACCTCACCTCATATCAGCTTAGAGGTGTTGCAAAAGCCGCAACGCGCTTGAGTTGGCTCAATAGACTTCCTGACTCGGCTCAGATTGCCTGCCCTTGGGACAAATATTAAGTTCCGGCAGAGGAAACCTGAACGGCTTGAGAAGTATGAGCCTGTCAGGGGCTCCTGGAGCTTGGACCAATTTGCTTTTCCTTACGGGACCTGTCAGGTGCCATGTTGACTGGGAGGGTATCTACCACGTCTCGGCTAGGCTCTGATTTCCACAGCCCGCGCAGATGGCCAGGACACCAAGCTGCTGCAGCCCACCAACCATGTGGAGCACAACTCGCTGGGACGCCCAGTGCGACCTCCGAATCCGAGTTTGGGCTCATGAAAGGGAGCGTTTGGGTCCTCCGAATTTCTCTTGGAGGGTTGGATATCCTATGCATCGCCAAGCAAAGGATCATTTCAAGAGTAGTTGGCTCCAGACAGATAATCCCTAGACACCGTTTGCTGAAGGTCTTGCAAGGGACATGTCTTTTCTTTTCTGCACCCAGCTAGGCCTGTTGACAACGCTAGCCGCTAGCACGGCCGCACTTCATTGTCATGTGGCGCTTTGCCTTCAGCCAAGCTCTTGATTCTTCATTGCTCCCATGATGAATCTCCAGCGACTGACCATACTGAATGGTGGATACGCCCCGATCTACAGTCCATGTTGACGAATTCAGGTTGATATAAGACCATAGTGGGGTGTGCGTTCTTTCTTCTAATTTTCCAAGCACTTGGAAATGGAGCGCTGCGGTCGGATGTGTTGATGGATGCTAACTCTGCTACTGCTTGAGCGCAGATTCATGCCCACGGAACCATTAGCGCATCATCGCACATAAATCGTATTTGCCTCCACGCGCCTAAATGGTGGCGGCTGCTTCCTTGCGGTCCCGCCAAGCAAAATCGCCTTCTGAACAAGGGCGCGCCCTATGCAACTGCGTCTCTGTTACCAAACTCTCAACTGCTATGCTTGTAGAGTGTGGCTTTGCGCTGCAAGCCCTTTCAGTTGCAATACATTTTTCTCGCAAACTTCTGCCATTGCTGCTGACGCATCGCACCGTAGCCTCAAAGATTCAAACTGGCGCCATGTGCGAGGCTGCAATTTACCCAGGTGGGTGTGTCTGTTTTAAGGTTGGACGCCCCAAAACTGTGGTTTTCCTCTTGGTTTCCCTTCAGAGCCACCAAAAAAGGTCCCTCAAAAGGAGACACACCCAGGTGGCTGCCGCACAGCGACCTTGTTCTCACTCTTGGCTTTGGAGGGCTCCTTGCAGATAGAGTCAATACAGCATTGATCAACCTGGGACCTATTGAGCATTGGATGCCGCAATTTCCGCCTAGCCCCTCGCACATTTTAGAGTTGTGCTGCGTGTGCACTACATCTTGGACGGAGCTAAATTGCTACATATTTTAATGCCTGAAGTGCTTGCAGATGGCGGTGCCAATGCTGCAGGTGATTTTGGTGGGAGGAGTATTCCAGTCATAGACAGTCGAACCCATGGCATGTTGGTGTGCACCTGCATGCAAATATACATAAGCATGTAGTTGGCAATGAAATGGCCAGCTGCTTATAAATGTGTTGAAGTAAAGACCTATGTTCGCTTGTCCAGGAACACGCGTGAGGATATTGCTGCATTTTGCCAAGTGCTCCTTTCGCTCGCAGGCTTCGATTCCTGGGAAACCTGCGGTTGAACCTCTGGGATTGCGGAGGAGACCAAGCAAAATGGGGGTTCGGTGCGGTGTCACTTGTCAGCGTGAATAGTAGCTCTTTTGAAGGCCGCTCGAAAGTCCAAATCGGTCTTCGGGGCACCCAGCATTACAATGGCGTGAAGAGTTTGCGAGGCATAGGCCTGATTGCTTGCACAAACGGCTTGCATCACCCACGTTCAACAAGACTTACGGTCGGGGCATGCTACGGCCGGAAAGCCTTGTTGTCGAAGCTTTGCCATCCTTGATATCAAGCCAGTATTCGTCAGCTTGTGCATCGTTCTTGAGCTGCAGTTCCAAGACGTTGAAAGCCTCATTGCGAGGTGATTTCCAGAAGGAACAACTGCGATGAACCACCAACACGAATATTGCCAATGCTTTGCTTACAGTTTGACTATAGTAGTCATTTAGTGGCAGCCCTGATTTCATCACAGCCCCAGCAAACCCATCAAGTGAATCCTCGACTGAATATGTGAGCCAGCAGCTTGATTGCATCCTGGCGCAGGCAGGCTAGCCGCTGAGCCCCTCGAATTCATGGATAGCACGGGCTTTCTCAAGCCACCAATCAATTCATGCATCCAAGCAAGGCCTTCCTCAACACGCCACCAATCCAGAAAATCTCATTTTTCCGAGAAAAAAAACCCTCTGGTGTTGGATTCTCGTACGATTGCTTGGTTTTGGGGTTCCCCGGCTCTCCTTGTTTTCGAGGCACTCGGCGAAGCACCCAATGTTCGCGCAGGACAGGACCAGTTCATGGAGAACTACTTCGAGTCCCAGCGCGAGAACATCTTCCAGCACTGCGAGGCAACCAATGCGGGTCCGGTGAGGAAGGTTTGCTTGGCTCGAGAGGCAGGGCATGAGTTGGAGCCCAATAAACCGTCCTGGTTTTCTTCCAGGGGATCCCACCCGATTCATGCCCAATTGCTTGAGAACTATCTCAAGCTTTGCCAGGTAGAGAAGGGAATTGGCCTGGGTTGCAAGGGATCTTGAGTGTCTTGCTGTGTGTTCTGTTTTGGGAAGCACCTCGGGTTCCGTTTGACGGTTCATTTGGATATTCTTTGGGAAGGAATCTGGACACATCCCTGTCCCTGCCATGTTGCCAGCCTGAGTCACATACAGACAGGGAATTGGACACGTGCGAACACGTTTGGCTGGGCTTGCTCCGGGATGTACGAGCACCGCTTGTGCAGGAAACTTAGGACCGTCACATTGGTTGTAGTGGTCAGAGCCCGACGTCATTTTGGTTTGGCTCAAGCACACGTCAAGCACAGTTGTCCATCCTGCCCAATAACAACGATTGGACATG